CATGTCAGGAACATCCCATTCTGCCTCCAGTGGCGACCTGCTGCTAGTACGGTCTTTCTACAGTTAAAAAGCCCCTTCTATTGCAGCGTGGGAGAGTTGCTCAAACTGCTACACTCTGTAGCGTGGAGATATACAGACTCACAGCCTTGGCCCAATTCCCCAGGAAAGTCCAGGTCAGAGAGCCAGCAGAGGAGGAATGTCTCTAACAGGGAAAAGAATAATCACTTGAAGCAGTACCACCTCTCTCATTCCAACATCCAGGAGGGATCTTACGGGAAGGTGGTGTTGTGGTGGCAATGTCACTACAGACTAGTAGCCCAAGGTTCTGTGGACATGGGTTCGAATCCCACCATGGCAGATGGAGGAAGGGAAATTCTGTAAAAATCTGGAATTAACCACTGTCAATTGTTGTAAAAACACCGTCTAGTTCACAGATGCCGTTTAGGGAAGGAAATCTGCTGCCCTTACCCATTTCTGGCCTACACATGACTCCCAGACCCACACCAACAATGGTTGAGTCATAACTACCCTCTGGGCATTAGAGACAGGTAACAGATGCTGGCCCAGCCGGGGACACCCACATTCTGTGAGAGAACCAAGAAAATAAGGTGTATGAGGCAATGTTGGCATAATATCACCAGACTAGGAATCCAGAGGCTAAGCCTAATGCTCCAGGGACACAAGTTTGAATCCCTCCACGGCAGATGGTGGAATTGGATTCAATAAAAATCTGAAATATAAATTGGGTTCAATAATAACAACGATCATTAATTGGTGTAAAGCCCTAGCTGGCTCCTTTATGAAAGGAAATCTGCCGTTCTTACCTTGTCTGGTCTGGCCTACATGTGACTTCAGATCCACATCCCATGAAAGAACAAAGAAAAAAAGATTAGTGTCACCCTATTAATGTCAGAATGGGTAACTTTACCACAAACAGTGATTATTAAGCGTGAGACACTTGGTCTTCAATGTAGCAGGATTTCTAAAGTGGTGGTGACAAAGTGCTGTTGGTTTAAACATCATTGGCAAGACTCAGGACCCACACCCCAGTTTGCCCTTGGCATTGCAGACAAGGCCAGTATTTGGTGTCCATGTCTCATTTCCCTTGAACTGAGTGGCTTGCTTGGCCATTTTAAAAGGACATCTTTTTTAATTTGTTCATGGGATGTGGGTGTCACTAGCTAGGCCAGCATTTATTATCCATCCCCATTTGCGCAGGGGGTAGAGTGCTGTGGGTCTGAAGTCACATGGAGGCTCGACCAGGTGAGGATGGCAGTTTCCTTCCCTAAAGGACATTAGCGGGTTTTTCCTGACAATTGTTTCATTGTTAGACTCTTAATTCCAAATTTTTCATTGAAATCAAATTCGACCATCTGCCATGGCGGGATTGGAAACCGGCTCCCCACAACATTACCTGGGTCTCTGGATTAACAGTCTAACGATAATACCTCTAGGCCAGTGCCTCCCCATAACAGTCAACCCTGAAGCTTTGGCTCTGGAGTCACATGTAGGCCCAACTTCTTCCCCTGAAGAAAATTAGTAAAGCAGATGAGTTTTCACACCAGCACGGACTATCTCAGGCATGGTGACCGTGAAACTAACTTGCAATTCCAGAATGTTAATTAATTGAACTTAAATTCCACCCACTCCACTGGTGGGATTCAAACCCCTATCCCAGAACATTAGCCTGTTCGCTGGGTCGCTCGCCCAGTGACATTTCTGCTACAAGCACCATCCCCCATTACATGCTACTTTTAAAAAACAGTATTTGATTTTTTTTAAAAGATCTGCGATTGCGTGATGGTATCTACACTGGGAAATGCAAGAACTCAGTCACAAGGACCCGAGGGAAATGATCTCAACAACACTGCAGGAAGAAGCTTTTCCAACTCGCCGTGTTCTCAAATCTAATGCCAACATTCGAGATCAGCTTTGAAACATGCTGTTGGCAAAGAAATCTCGAAGCACAGTGGATGGTATCCTGCCTCTGAGACAGCAGCTCCTGACAAGGTCAATGCTGAGGGAATGCTTTACCCCTTGTAGGGTTATCAAAGACCAGGAGTCACAGTCTTGGAATACAGGGCCATTTGGGACTGATATGAGAAGACATCTCGTCACGCTGAATCTGTGGAATTCCCCACCACGGAAGGCTGTGGAGGCCAACTCACTTAATATATTTAAAAAAGAGAGAGAAAGATTAATGTTTTAAAACATTAAAGGCATCGAGAGCTATAGGGAGAAAGCAGGAATATGGCATTGAGATAAAAGATCAGCCATGAATGGCAGAGCAGGCTCAAAGAGCTGAATGGCCTACTCCTGCTTCTGGTTTCTATCCTTCTACATTCATCTGAGGGACTTGGAAAGAATCTCTAAAGGACAACAAAAGAATGCACCCATTTGTTGCCAGGTAGAGAAAACAATCTGCCCTCACTCCTCTGTTTCCCGATTCCCTACTGTGTTATTACAGGCAGAGCCATCTCCATGTTGGTGGCAAATAAGGCATTCTGTAATCCCTTCTGAAGAATAAAACATGTAAGTTCAGTCCCAGATCATCGGAGTTGCTGATTCCCACAACACATGTGAACAGCAGGCCATTCAGCCACTCTAGCACGTTGTGTATTTTCATACGATCAACGCTAATCTTCCAGCTCAATGCCATTTACTCCACACTCTCCTTCATATACACCAATATCTTCAATGCTAGAACACCAGAACAGTTGATATAACTTTTTGACGCCTATAAAATTCTTGCAAGGTTGGAGTGGGTAGGTGAGGAAGGACGTTTCCCCTGACTGGTGGGAGGAGGGTACACCACAACCAGGGGATAAAGTTTCAGAATATGAGGTAGACCATGTGGGACCGAGGTGAGGAGAAACTTCCTTCTCTCGGAGGGTGGTAAATCTTTAGTATTCTCTGGAGGGCTGTGCAGGCCCACTCATTGTGTTCATTCATGATAGCAGTAGATAGATTTCTCGATGGTGAAGGAAGCAAGGGCTACAGGAAAATGGCATTGATGTAGAAGAGTGGCCATGATATAGCTGAGCAGCAGAGCAGGGTCAAGGGGCCGAACGGCCTAATCTAGCTCCTAAGATTTTGTACCTAAGATGGCGCCGTATAGCAACGGTGTACACTTTTCACTGTACTCTTGAACCCAAGTACTTGAGTACACATGACAATAAAACCTAAATCTAAATCTAATCTATTTCCCATGGTGGGTTGAGGTGGGGGGAGGGGATGCAGGGTGGGAACAGCAGATTACACCCGTATTATTCAACATAACATTTTGAGGCAATCAAAAGGGGAAAAATATCAAAAGCCAGGAACAACATAGGGTGAGACCCACTGCTCAGACCCCAAGCTAGGACCGACCAACAAACACAAGCTGACATTTCCAGATGTTCAGAATCAGGGTCCAATAGGGATTGGATACTCCTTTTGGAATTGGAACCCTGGCATTGCAATCCCACATCCTGGCCGGGAAAGTCACGTGACAATGATCTGTCCTGTTGTGGGATTAGCCCGAAGGTGCGCTCAGTATCCGTTAAAGGACAGTGGATGGTCAGCAAGAACCTCCACAATCTGGACTCCACAATCTCTCCACACCGAGGCAGTGCCACACAGTCAAAGGTGTTGCCTTTTGGACAAGATGTTAAACCAAAGGCCCCTTCTGCCCTCTCAGATAGGCATCAAAGATCCTGTGACGCTAACTTGAAGGAGAGGAAGGAAGTGATCCCAAGAGTCCTGGGCAATATTTGTCAACATCATTAAAAGCAGGTCATCTGGTCATTAGGAATTGCTATTTGTGAGATCTTGCTGCATGCAAATGAGCTGCTATGTTTCCTACATTACAACCAAGACTTATACTACAAAAAACACTTCATTTTCCGTAAAGCACTTTAACATAAAGAAGTGATTAAAAAAAATTACAGTCTCTCTTTTCTAATAAATTCAATAAATTCTGGGCGCTGAGGAAGCCTATGATTTGTCACTTTCTCCATGGCAATGTTTTAGCCAATCAGCACCCTTTTCTGCAGTGGTATAAATTGCTGTGATTGCTTGAAATTTGGCATTTTCTTGTATTGATTCCTCCTGATGAGTACATGATGGACAACTTCAGTAACATGTCTCTCTCTGTTCAGTAAGATTCAACAGAGAATCCAGGATCAACCCCCTTTGATCAACAAGGAGTTAACGTGGAACCTGCCTACCACCTCAACATCAATAACAGCAGTCCATGTGAGGGGAAATCCAGACAAAAACATGCTGGAGAAAGGGATAGAAACAGAATAGTCACACGAAGCCTTTTTACCCATCTTGTCCATTGTGTCACCTTGTCTCACACCCCCTACATTTACCCACAGCTTTCTAAATTGTTTTGTCCTTAGGGATTTCTTTGAATAGCGGCACAGGCTTGATGGGCTGAATGGCCTACTTCCATTCCTAATGTGCTAGGGTTTTATCTTTACCTGGTGTCCCTATTGAAAGCCTCGACTGAATAGAAGGTTCTGTTGACAGTATGAGGCATAGCAGCATTGGCAGAGCCCCATGCTGAGCACAAACATTGACACAGACCAATTGAACATCACGGCCTGTGTCTGGGCTTCACAACTCCAGGAATCTCTCCGCTGAGCAAAGGTTTAAAATAGTTTCCCGTGTCCCGGCTGCCCTCCCAAGACTGAAACAAAGAACACAACCGTGGGCTAGAGCCCCAAGCCTGTCAGGGAGAAGACGTTAAACAAAACAGACCCTCGCCTCAGTGCTAGCACTGTGGTAATGGGAGCCTGAGGGCTGCACACACGCTATCTTCGTCAGAGGCTGACACAACGTGGATTCTCCAGCCAGTTCAGACTCTCAAAGACGTGATAGCGAGCCAGCGAGAGAAAGAGAGAGAGAGAGAGAGGGAAAGACGGGTTAAGACTAACATTCGGCCTTGCATCCTGGCTTCAGTGATCTTAGCCAGGGCTGGGGGAGGGCAGGGATGGAGAGAAGCTGCGGCTTACCTCAGGGTGGAGTCAGGGTGGGTCTCCATGTGGCTCTCCAATCCATATTTGCAGATGAAAGTCTTGTAGCAGATCGGACAGTGAAGAACCTCTTCGGTCTTTTTCTCTTCTTCCTCGTCGGAGGGAACCTCTCGGGTAACCTGGGCAGGAGGAGGGGACACAGAGAAAGAGAGAGAAAGAGAGAGAGAGAGAAAAAAGAGCAGAGTTGGTCAATCAGTGTGTCAGGAATGTCGTTAAGTTGTTGGGAGGGATCAGTTGTTGTTGGTCTCCATCTCGGGACGTAGGCGTGGGGTGGTGAAGCAGATAGAGCACTTCAGTGTAAGATGGGTACGTGGTAGTTGTACTTCACCTGAGACCCATACTCGTTAACGGCTCATAACCTATTTGACCATGGGAGGCACAATCAAGTTTACACCTCAGGTCTAGCACAGATTTACCAGGATGTTACCTGGCCTGGTGAGTTTCAGTGATGGAGAGAGATTGGACAGACTGGGGTTGTTTTCCTTGGAGTAGGGGAGACTGAGAGGGAGACATGATGTATAAATATATAAAATTATGAGGGGCACCTATAAAGTAGACAGGATGAAAGCTTTCCCCTTGATGGCATCAATGACCAGCAACACAGGTATAAGGTTAGGGGCAAGAGGTTTAGAGGAGATGTGAGGAAAGCATTTTCACCCAGAGGATGGTGGGAATCTGGAACTCACTGCCTGTAAGGGTAGTAGAGGCAGAAACCCTCATGACACTGAAGAAATATTTAGATGTGCGCTTGCGATACCAAGGCTGTGGGCCAAGTGCTGGGAAATGGAATTAGAATAGTGAGGTGGTTAGTTTTGACCGGTGCAGACTTGATGGGCTGAAGTGCCCCTTTCTGTGCTATAGATTTCCGTCCCAGCACAAGGAGGAATATGGCCTTGATTTTATTCTCCCCATTGCCCCCAGTGCCTCCCTTCACCAGCAACACCCCCCCCCCACCCACCAACTCCACCCCTCCCCACTGCTGCATGGTCGAGTTTAGCTCCAGGGCCCACTGCGTGCTAATTGAGACCAGCTCAGAGCACGGGGAGGCAGAGCTGAGGTGACCACCTCACTTAAGGCGTTTCCCAATGGAATTTCCAACAGACTCCCTCTGCCAGTGACTCCAATGGGCATCATCACAGGGTGGGGTACTGGGCCAGCATCCAACCAATCACTTAGACAGCAACTGCCACATGGCTGTGAGGTGGGGGTAAAGGACAATAAAGGATGTAAGGGCTGGGAGGGGACGAGGAAAAATAAATTGGACAGTGATTCATCCGCCCTTTCCCCTGCTCCGACACTCGGAGACAGCTCCCAACATTAGGACATTAGCCATCTCCAAAATGAACTCATGCCCCACTCGTTGGTCCAAATGTCGGATTACCAAATCAACCAGGTTATAGATACTAACTGTACAGTCATTGGGTGTGCAACTCTACTCAGATGGGGCATACTCAGGTGTGACACTGTATACCAGAGCAGACTTAAGCTGTGTTTGTAAGGTTTGGAGGTACGTGCTTGTAATGTGCATCCCTGCAAATAAAAATGTGTGAAGCTCAGACTCCAGTTGTATCCTTCAGCACTCGTCTATCGGGCATGGGACATAATCTCCTCATAATAATGACCCTTTAGCCAGTCAAAGTAGGCACTGCAGGAACTGAGATGGGGTTTTTGTTCAATGACATGCAAGCCAGGGGGTGTGCTTATCACACTCCCATGTGTTAAAGGGAGAACACCTTCAAATTGCCTGGCCAGAATGTAACTTGTACTCTCAATCCATTGCCAGTTGTTACTCAGCTCTCTAAGGTTTTAAAGTGGTGGAGACACTGGAGGCTCACTCCACACGCAAAGCACTCTCACAACTGAGCAGCTGCATCCTATCACATCCGTGCCCAAACTGAAGAACTGTCAAATCTTTCAGTAGAACCCACTTCCCCTTTAAAAGATCACAGCAGCCAGTCAACCTAGAGATTCAGAGCAGCGTGTGTACCCTAGCATTCACATTATCAGGCCACCAGATCACTCTCGTCACACATGCTGCCTGTATCAGCGCCCCTTCCTCTGCTGCCAAACCTTTCAAAGTACAGCCGTGTACAAAGTAAAAGTAGGCTTTTCTTAGTCAGGATGTTCTGTGATGCTGCAGTGTCAGGAGGGAGCTCACTTGTGTTGTAGACTAATATCCTCGCTTCAGTTACGAGGTTCCACAGAAAGGAAAACGGGGAACGATACTGCGGGAACTGAGGGTTAAAGGTGCAATTCTTTTGGAGGAGACATTAAACCGAAGCCTGCTTGGCTGGGCATGGCTCGACCTTCAAGTCAAAAGAGCCAATGCTCAGTCCGTTTACCAATGCTCACCCGTCAGTCAACATCACACAGGGAAAACAGATCCTCTGGTCATTGTCGCACTGCTGTTTGTGGGAGCTTGCTGTGTACAAAATGTCTGCTGCATTCCTGACACAGCAACACTTTAAAAAGTGCCACTTTGAGAATACCAAGTGGATTGAAAAAGCACCATATAAATCTAAATCTTTCTTTCATATGATATTTATCCACTTGGCACAGAATTGGGACTAATAACAGAAAAACAAAATTGCAAAAATGTGACAGGTCAGGCAGCACCAGGAACAGAAAGCATTGTTTTGATGGGGAGTGACTGACCTGATGCACATTGCACCACATTCTGCTTTCAATTCAACATTAGGCAAATGTGGCTACAATTAATTGTTTTTTTTAAATCAGTGAATGAGGTAGCTGTTATGAACAATTGATGATAGTTGCTGTTGTTGAGATTTGCAGATTTTATGTTAATTAATCTGCCCATGGTGGGATTTGAACCCATGCCTCCACAGGCCTGTGTGTTACTAACCCAGTGGTTTTACCACTACACCATCATTCCCCCTCCCCTGGCCCCAAACCCTGCATTTTAGTGGGGTATTAGCAATTCAATAAGGTAGCCTCACCACAGAGTGCACACAGCACAGAAGGAGGCCATTTGGCCGAGCAGGTCAATGCTGGCTCTCTCAGGAGCAATCCTGTTACTCTCAATCCCTCGCTCCGTCCCCTTAGCCCCTCCTTAAGTCCAGCTCTGCAACAGCCCTCTACTTTCCTGCAAAAGGTTTGCATGCGCTAAATTGGGGTGGCATACAGTGAGTCATTGACTGGAGAATGGAGGGGGCAAGATGTTTCTCTTTGTAAAGGATTCCTCTGAAAACAAGAGGGAAATAAGTTCATGGTGTAAAAAAAAAACTGAGTGGTGAGGCAGCATCAGACACTGAGGCTTGTGATCAAGCTGCATGTCACCGAGGCAGCCTGAACTGTACCCAAGTACAGAGCAGCTGAAGGTGACACCTGTACCCCAGTACAGAGCAGCTAAGGGGAATGTCGAATTGGAGGCTGCAAATTCATTCAGACCTGACAATGTTGTTCAGGACCCGAAATGTTCATTCTGCTTCTCTCTCCACAGATGCTGCCAGACCTACTGAGTTTCTCCAACATTCTTTCTTTGTATTTCAGGCCTGGTGGTTTCCAGAGTTTTCCCAAAGTGTTCAGGTCACTTCTCCCTGCGAGCACTTGACTGGAATAAGCTCGTGTGTTGTGCACTTTATGGAGATTACACTAACTCAAGGCTTTGCTTGGAGACAGGTGGGGATCCAGAGCAGAGAGTAACGTTCCCACCTCCCAGCTGTCACTTTAAGAAGACAGCACCTTCCTTTGTTGCTCTGTGTAACCTAATATTATCCAAAATCAAAATGTGACAGCTTGTTTTTATTACAAACACAATAAGATAGGCAAGATTTCTCCTCATTATCTCAATCTATAGCCATGTCAATGGCTTTATATTAACAGCAGACAGTTGATGGACACTGACTGCTGTGGACAGGAATGACACTTAAACCCAACTCCGCTCACAATCCGAGGTGGGGGGGGAGGAGTGGTGTGTGTGTGTACCAGCATGACGATGAATTCTTTATAGCTCTGAATTCCAGACTTTGTCCCCTGACATTTAATCTCCCTGCCAAGGCTAATCTTTGCCAACTCCCGAGGTGGGTTCAGGGGCAAAACATCCACAATCATCCTGAATTGCTCATTTTGGGGTTTTGGGGCACTGACTAAATTATTTTGGGAGTAATGGGTGGGAAAGAGATAGGGAGATGCGATTTTGAAATAGAGTGAATGAGAGAGAGAGACTGTGAGAGAGAGTGCCACAGAGTGAGAGAGGGAGAGAGCGAATGAGTGAGTGAGCAAGATAGGGAGAGCGCGAGAGAGAGGGAGGGAGGATGAGGGAGAATGAGAGAGCGAGAGCATGCAACATGGAGGGGGGGGAAGAGAAGGAAAGATAGTGAGACAGTATCAATGTCCAGACAATATCCCACAGTAACTATATCCAGACCAATATCCATTATCCTTCGTCTAACATCACACGAAAAAAAGGTCATTACCACAATCCTGTTAGAGGGAGCTTGCTGTGCGTGAATTGGCTGTCAAGTTCCTACATAACAACAGCTATACCTCAACAGTCAACATCACACTAATTGGGATAGGTAGCTACACAAGTGTGAAGGTAAAGTTGCTCTAGGCCCAGTGGACCAGAGGACTGCTCTCTCGTTAGAGAGAGACAACTGTTGGCAGTCTAACTGGAGGGTCACCGGGCCTCAAGTGAGAGGAGAGGTTGAGAAGGAGGGATCTTCATGGTAACTTCAGGTGATGTGGGAATTGAACCCATGCTGTTGGCATCACTCTGCAACACAAACCAGCTGTCCAGCCAGTGAGCACAAGGGTGTTCGGATTTCTCGAGGAAGGTGCCAACTAGGGTGAGGCCAGTCACTTTGGGTGAAATCATTTCAGCAAATTGAAGCAAACAAATAGAATTAGCACTGCACAGGACAGAGAGCAGACTCAGGGTGCGAATTAGGAAGGTGCCATCAGTAAATGATCAACAACTGATGCTCACCAAGCTCCCTGCTGTCACTGACCTTGACCCTTATATAGCTGCAGAGTGCTCCTCAATGCCTGGCACATGCCAATCAATTCATCAAGAAAGAGGGTGGGGTGCCCTTTGTTCCCTTATCGTGATTATGAGGGACTGCCTCAGACTGGCTCCATCAGCAATACCTGATGGAGGCTGATTAAAGAAAACCATTTGGTTTTATTCTGCAGGAATAGTACAGACCATACTCAGCTAGCCCGTGCTCATAAAAGCCTAAAACAAAATGTCTACCATTAGATGCGACTCTACAAATAACCCTGAGTGCACCACTAGCTCCATTTACAAACAGTCCAGCTCATTACATAGTTTGTTCACACCTACTAGAAGTAACACACATTGATGCACTGGGTTTCTCCAAATAAAAAGGAATAAGTCCAAACTTCTTAAAAAAATGTATGCAGGTGTTTGGAAACCATTGTGCTCTCCCTAACAACACCTCAGCCAATCAGACTTGACTTGCCAACCAACCAGCATCCTTTTCTGTAGTGTGAAATGTTGTGATTGCTTGAAATTTGGCATTCTTGCATTTGTGTCCTGATGAGCGGATGATGAAAAGCTTCAGCAACGTGCCTCACTATTCAGTGATTCCGAGTACCCAGACAGGAGGCTTCCAACCAGAATTAGGTATGAAACCAACATTTAAGAGGCAATTGGACAGACAATGAACAGGAAGGGAATAGAGTGATATGGATCATGTACAGGCAGATGGGATTAGTTTAGAATGGCATCAGGGTCAGCACAGACATTGTGGGCCGAAGGGCCTGTTCCTATGTTATCCTGTTCTATGTTCTACGATTGTTTGTAAAAACATAGAATGCTTACATCAAGCAGGAGGCCATTTTATCCTGATCTCAATGTATTGCCAGAAAATGCAAAATCCCGCCTTTGTATCTAGCCAGCTCAGTTATTCACAGGTCATTTATATGGAGGGGCTGCAGTAAGAGGACCCCATGTTCTTTCGGACAATAGATTAGTAGCAAACACAATGTACTTGCTTTATCTTAGTGACGGCTGGTGGAGCAGTTCCTTGGGTAAGAATATTCAAAGACCCAGAATGAGGCCATCGGCCTATCTTACCTGCAGTCAAGCAATGGACCATGCTAATGCCATTTTTCATCTCTTGGTCCACAACCTGGAGGCTATGATTATGCAAATGATTATCTAAATTCTGCTGAAAATGTTCTCGGAGATATAGAGTCGTACAGCATGGAAACAGACCCTTCGGTCCAACTCATCCACACCAACCAGACATCCAATCTGACCTAATCCCGTTTACCAGCATTTGGCTCATATCCCTCCAATCCCTTCCTATTCATATACCAATCCAGGTGCTTTTTAAAATGTTGAAATTGTACCAGCCTCAACCACCTCCAGGCAGCTCGTTCCATACACGCACCACCCTCTGCATGAAAAAGCTGCCCCTTAGATACCTTTTAAATCTTTTCCCTCCCACCTTAAACCTATGTCCTCTATTTCTGGACTCCCCTATCCTTGGGAAAAGACTTTGTCTAGTCACCCTATTCACGCCCCTCATGATTTTATAAACTTCTATAAGTCCACCCCTCAGCCTCCGATGCTCCAGGGAAAATAGCCCCAGACTGTTCAGCCTCTCCCTATAGCTCAAACCCTCCAACCCTTGCAATGTCCTTGTAAATCTTTTTTGAACCCTTTCATGTTTAACACCATCCTCCCTATAGCAGGGAGACCAGAACTGAACACAGCATTCTGAAAGTAGCCTCACGAATGTCCTGTACAGCCTCAACATGACTTCCCAACTCCTACACTCAAAGTTCTGGCCAATGAAGGTAAGTGTGCCAAATGCCTTCTTTACCACCCTGTCTACCTGCAACTTCACTTTCAAGGAACTATGCACTACACCTTGGTTCTCTTTGTTTGGCAACACTCCCAGGACCTTACCATTAACTGTATAAGTCCTGCCCAGGTTTGCCTTACCAAGAGTTTCTGACTCAACTACTCTTCCAGGCTCTGCATGAAAGAAATTCTCAACTCTCCTCGTGGCCGTCTACCTCTTACCTTAAATCTATGTCCGATGGTTATTGACCCTCTGCTAATAGGGAAAGTGCCTTTCTCTCCACCCTATCTACGCCCCTCAAAATTGTATATACATCTACTGGGTCCCATCTCAACATTCACTACTCCAAGCAAAGCAACCCCAATCTTTTCCCAAAACTCAGACCCACCAGCACAGGCAGCATGCTCGTAAATCTTCTCTATATTAGAGAAAGAGGGTGGCCTAGTGGTAATCTCACTGGACCAGCACTCCAGGAGCCCAGACTAATGCTCGGCACAGGAGCAGGTTCAAATCCCAACAGGCAGCTTGCAGAGCTTAAATCCAATTGATAAATCTGGAATTGAAATGTAGTCTCAGTAGTGCTGACCGTGGCAACTATCAATGATTGTCATTAAAAACCCATCTGCTTGCCTAAATTGGAGAAGGCCATCTGCCTTCCCTACCTGGTCTGGCCAATCAGTGCTCAATGCCCTTTGCAATGGCCTAACAAGATACTTAGTTCAAGGGAAATCAAGGATGAGCAAGGAAATACTGGCCTTGCCAATGATACCTAAATCCCATGAAAGACAATGCAAGAAAATAAGGTACATTGAATTTTGATGTTTAGTTATTATGGTGCTTCCTTTGACCGTAGTATTAAAATCCTTCCCAGGAAGTGACCCAGAAATAAGAGGCTAATGGAACATGTTGTATCGAGATGATAGGTTTCCAAAGGGGTTCAAATAGTGAAGAGATTGATGCAGAGGGAGGTATTGCAGAAATTCCAGAGTTCAGGGCCCAGGTAGTGTGGCCCCCAGTGCTGGGAAAAGGAAGGGAGAGCAGTGTAAGAGGCAGAGTTGGATGGGTACAGATATTCCAGAGGATTGCCAGGGCCTAAGGTGGAAACAGGGAGAGGGACGGGGACAGGGGTAGGTGGGAATTGGATTTAACCACAAGGATGGATATTTCTTTGAGGCATATCTAGCCTAGGGCCCAATGTTAGTCAGGGGCAATGGGCGAACAGGACTCCCTGCTGAGAGTTTGGATTCGGGCAGCAGAATTTTGGGTGAGTTTAATTTTGTGGAGAGTGGGAGATGGGTGACCGAGCAGAGCACTGGAATGATGGCATCATGGAGGTGGTGCAGGGATGGGTGAAGGCTCGAGCAACAGAGGGACTGAGGCAGGTGGCTTTGCAAAGGTGGATACTGGCAGCCTATACAATGGGAGAGGAGAAAGCAGGGTAGGGGGTGGTAACTTTGCTCAGACAGGACAGTGAAGTTGTGTGCTATCTGGTTCAGGCTAATCACTTGAACTGAACAGATACCTTCTAATGGTGACTACAGACCAAGACTCGAAAAGCAAACTTTTTCAATGCAATATTAATTAGGTTTAGGTCCTGCTGAAAAAAATAAAGAAACAGACAAAGCTTTACACCTTGGCCTCATCAGGACAGACGCAAGAATGCTGAATTTCACAGGGAACACCCATTTATATTCCACTGAAATCTGGTATTCTTGTATCTGTCCTGACACATGCAAGCCAAAAGGGTTCAATGATAGTAGGAACTGCAGATGCTGGAGAATCTGAGATAACAAGGTGTAGAGCTGGATGAACACAGCAGGCCAAGCAGCATCAGAGGAGCAGGAAAGCTGACGTTTCGGGCCTAAACCCTTCTTCAGAAATGGGGAAGGGGAAGGGGATTCTGAAATAAATAGGGAGAGGGGGGGTGGCGGATAGAAGATGGATAGAGGAGAAGATAGGTGGAGAGGAGACAGAC